GGCGGGGGGCTCAGCAGCGGCGCCTCCACGCCAGTGAGCGGCGACGCGGTCACCGGCTTGGGCGGCGCCAGGTCCCGCGGGCCCTCCTCGTCGCCCTCCTCGTCGTCCTCCAGCTCGTCGTATTTATCCTTGCACTCCGAGCCCGACTCGCACAGGGGGTCCCCGGCGGGGCCGGGCAGCTTCTCCCCGTCGGACTCCGCGGAGCAGGAGTGATCGGTGAGCGAGTCCACGTGCAGGCTGATCCCTGCGGGCGCGCATGGTCGTGGGGGAGGCGCCTCCTCTCCCCTCTGCCCCCCTGCCCCCCCAAACCCTGCGGGGCACACGGACCCCCAGGGGGCCAAGGCCCTGCTGGGTCCTCCTGCTAAAGCAGGGTGCCGGCGCACAGCTTTCTCCCAGCCTGGGCCCTGCGCCCCGCCTGGGAAGAACGCGCAGCGCGGGCTCACCTTCGTCCTCCGCGGAGGTCTCGGCGCCGTCCTGCGCCTTCTCGGGACTCTCCTCCTTGCTTCTGGCCGCGTCGCCCTCGTCCTCGTCCTCGTCCTCGCTTTTGTTCCTTGGGGCCCAGGTCATCTTGTTCTCCTTCTTGAGGCGCCGGCGGGCGTTGGCGAACCAGGTGGACACCTGCGTGAGGGTCATCTTGGTGATGATGGCCAGCATGATCTTCTCGCCCTTGGTGGGGTAGGGGTTCTTGCGGTGCTCGTTCAGCCAGGCCTTGAGCGTGGCCGTGGCGTCCCGCGTGGCGTTCTTGCGGTACGCGGGGTCATTGAGCTGGTACGGGTAGGCCGCGCTGCCGTAGGGGTGGTAGCTGATGGCACCCGTCATGCCCGCGGCGTGAGCGTCGTAGGGTGCGCCCTGGAACGAGAGAGCCCGTTGGGGGGGAGGGTTGGCCGCAGCGTGGAGCGCCCCCCGCCCGCGCCTCCCTTTCGTTGCAGCAGGCCAGAAGGAAAGCGCCTTGCGCGGAGGCCAGCTGCTGGCCAGCTGCCGAACGCGGCAACACCGCAGTTTTATTCTGTTTCCTCAAGGAGCTCACTGTTCCTACGACGACCTGTTTCCCCAGAGCCGCGGGTCAGTAACGGAAGCCGCGCCAGGCCCACAGGTAGCTTCTTGATATCTAAATCGCGGCTGGGCTCCCCCGAGCTGCCGCCTCCCGCTCCCCTTCCCCGCCCTTATATGGTCAAAAACCACCCCCAGCCCCCCGCGCCGCTATTCAGCGCGCTAAAGCTCCGCAAATCCAATTTGCAACTCAGAAGCCAGTCACCGTTTCGAATTCTTCAAATACGCGTAATTAGCATTTTAATTCAGCCTTTAACGTTTAAATTCGAGACTTCTGCGACCTCGCCCAGACCCAGGCGACTCAGCGCAGCCCTGGAATCCCACCGGGGGCGGGCCTGGCGACTGCCCCCCGAAGTGGCCCCAAACGGCCTAAAGGCGCTTCGCCGCCACCCTGGTCGGGTCCAGCGGCGG